TCTCGGCTCACCGCAACCTCCGTCTCCTGGGTTCAGGCAATTCTCCTGCCTCAACCTCCTGAGTAGCTGGGATTACAGGCACGTGCCACCATGCCCAGCTAATTTTTTTTTTGTATTTTTAGTAGAGACAGGGTTTCACCATGTTGACCAGGATGGTCTCGACCATCTCTTGACCTCGTGATCCACCCGCCTCGGCCTCCCATAGTGCTGGGATTACAGGCTTGAGCCACCGCGCCTGGCCTATTTTTAGTGTTTTAAGAGACTGAATCTCACTGTGTTGCCCAGGCTGGTCTTGAACTCCTGGGCTCAAGTGATCTTCCTGCCCCTGCCTCCAGAAGTGCTGGGATTATAGGCATAAACCACCACACTTGGCCCCCTTTCACTTTCTTTTAAGATGGTTAGGTGAGTTGTTGTATACTTCAAAAACAGCATAGGTATGGGGGCTTCATGGCTTTCTTCAGTGAAGATGAGGCTATATCTTGTTGAAACTGGCACTGGAAAGTCACTTTTACTTGGCTAATTTACTTAGATTTTTTTTTTTTTCTGTTTCTTGGGCTTTAAGCAGACATACTTCAGAGCTTCCCTCTTACTAGTAGGAATACATTTTCTAAGCTAAATTCAGACTGCCAGAGAAATATATGATAACCAATGCTGAAATGTTGAGGTGATTCAACTGTGATTAGAATAAGAATCGCTTTATTATATAATTTGCACTTATCTGTGGAAAGGAAACCTGAAAAAAAAAGTCTACAATACATCATCACATTGCTTACGTTGTTGGGAGCGACAAATAAACAGGTATGAGGCGGTTGAAGAATAGTAAAAATAGCATTATTGGTGAAAGCTTTGATGTAGCCCTGTAAAGCTTATAGGACATCAGAGAAAGGGAATCTAGAAGAAGCAGAGTACTTAGTAAAGCTTTCATCACTGAGATGAAGTGTGGTTTACATCTTGAAAGATGTGTAATAATCGCCAAGCCTCACAGAAGGAGGGATGAGAGGTTCACTATGGAAAGTTAAGTATTAAATAATATGGTGATTATTGGGTAGAAGAGAGAGGGGAGGCTGGCAGGTGAATTGAATGGGAGTATTTTACCACAGAGGATAAGTGGTTTTGTCAGCAGTGATGGATAGTAGACCTACAGTCTGGGAGATTTGAAAGACTGAGAAATATTTGTTTAATCTGGTAGGTAGTACTCAATTTGAAAACTTTCTGTTTTTAAGCCAGCAATGACATGTCAGAAAAATTAGAAAAAAAAAAATTTTTTTTTGTTCATTAGCAAACTAAAACATCTTAGTAAAAATTAAGGCTAAAAATCATAGTTTATTATTTTGTCAGTTTGACTAAAGTTTTTTTTTTTTTCCCTTTCAGAAGAATGGTTGAGACCGGTGATGAGAAAAGACAAGCAAGTGTTAGTGCATTGGGGCTTTTACCCAGACAGGTAATGTCCATATGCTGTGAGACCTGGTATAAAGATTTTTTTTGAAAGGAAGGCACATTTATTTATAGTTTTATTTTCTGAATAGTGACAGTTTATTGATTTGTGTTTACTCATTTTTCTTACTTCTGGAGTCTTTATTGAGGATTTTCTTATTTAAGGTACAGAAATTAATAAGGTCACCATTAAATGGTGAATGAGTAAGCCATAAATGGCTTTATCTTTTTATTTATTTATTTTTAAAGATGGAGTTTCACTCTGTCACGCAGGCTGGAGTGCAGTGGTACTGTCTTGGCTCACTGCAAACTCCGCCTCCTGGGTTCAAGTGATTCTCCTGCCTCCGCTTCCTGAGTATCTGGGATTATAGGCACCTGCCACCACACCTGGCTAATTTTTGTATTTTTAGTAGAGATGAGGTTTCACCATGTTGGCCAGGCTGGTCTCAAACTCCTGAGCTCGTGATCTGCCTGCTTAGGCCTCCCAAAGTGCTGGGAGTACAGGCGTGAATCGCTTCTCCTGAGCAGCTTTATTTATCTTTAAAAAACTGATATCAAGGCTTGGTGTGGTGGCTCATGCCTGTGATTCCAGCACTCTGGGAGGCTGAGACAGGTGGATCATGAGATCAGGAGTTCAAGACCAGCCTGGCCAACGTAGTAAAACCCTGTCTGTACTAAAAATAAAAAATATTAGTCGGGTGTGGTGGTGGGCGCCTGTAATCTTAGTTACTTGGGAGGCTGAGGCAGGAGAATCACTTGAACCCAGGAAGTGGAGGTTGCAGTGAGCCAAGATCATGCCATTGAACTCTAGTCTGGGCAACAAAGCAAGACTCCATCTCAAAAAACAAACAAATAAACCCTCAAAACCATATCTTTTATGTATTTGCCAAAAAATGTCTCTGTGGTATTAGGTTCCTGATTTATATTTGTTTACTTTAAGAAATGAATTTTGCCAGGCACGGTGGCTTATGCCTGTAATCCCAGCACTTTGAGATGCCGAGGCGGGTGGATCATGTGAGGTCAGGAGTTCAAGACCAGCCTGGCCAAAATTGTGAAACTTCATCTGTACTAAAACTATAAAAAGTTAGCAAGATGTGGTGGCGCATACCTGTAATCTCAACTACTCAGGTGTCTGAGGCATGAGAATCACTTGACTCTGGGAAGTGGAGGTTGCAGCGAGACGAGATCATACCACTGCACTCCATCCTGAGTGACAGTCTTACTCTCTCTCCAAAAAAAGAAAAAAAGGTTTTCTTTTTTTCCTAGTGTTTATTACTGATCAGATTTTTTTGAGAGAGTCCTGCTCTGTAGACCAGTCTGGAGTGCCATGGCACAGTCTCGGCTCACTGTAACTGCCACGTCCTGGGTTGAAGTGATTCTGCCTCCAGCCTTCCAAGTAGCTGGGATTACAGGTGCCCACCACCAGGCCCAACTGATTTTTGTGTTTTTAGTAGATACTGGGTTTCATCATGCTTGTCAGACTGGTCTTGAACTCCTGACCTCAGGTGATTCATGTGTCTCAGCTTCCCAAAGTGCTGAATTACAGGTGTGAGCCACTGTGCCTGGCCTGATCAATTTGCTTTTTTGAAAAACGTCTCATGCGAAACCATTAAGGGTGAAATTAATTTATGTCTAAAATTGACTTTTTCTTTTCATCAGAAATTTCTTTGCCTAGTGTTGTTGTGGCTTTTATATGTCATAACCCATACTAGTTTCAGTAGCTATAGTATGAAAAACGAATATTATAAACAAGAGCCAGATATTAGTGACGATAGTGGTCCTCGTTTAATATTATGCCTACCTAGTGCACGTGGAAATCTCTCTCTCTCTCTCCCTCCCTCCCATTCTCCCCCCTCCCTCTCTCTCCTCTCTCTCCCTCTCTCTCCTCTCTCTCCCTCTCTCTCCTCTCTCTCCCTCTCTCTTCCTCTC